GGGTGTAATATTAAGTTATAGGGTGAGGGACCATAGGGATATAATATTAAGTCATAGAGTAAGGGACTAGAAAGAGATAATACAGGGTTATAGAGTAAGGGACTACAGGGGTATAATAAAGGGGTATATAGGGGTTGTAGAATAAAGGACTACAGGGGTATAATATAGGGTTATATAGGGACTATATAGGGAATATAGGGAACATATTATATAAGCAGTTAGCTGCTTTGCCAAGGTTGGGATATGCACCTTGCCCGTGCCCAGCTGCGCGACAAAGTCAGGCTCGGCAGCGGAATCGATTTGCACCAGCACTTCAGCGTGACTGGTGGCCATATTTGTTTCCTGCGAATGAAGGGCTCCTCCCTATACTCCCTATATTGTGCCTATGTAACCCTATATTCTTCCGCTATAGTCCCTCACTTTATAACTCTATATTATACCCCTACAGTCCCTTACTCTGTCATCCTATGTTATACCCCTATAGTCCCTATTAGGCAATAAGCAAGACAGAACAGCAGCTCAGTAGCCAAGTGTCTTTGAGAAGCCCCAGCCTATGTGGAACCAAACAAAGGGCTGAGTGCGAGCCGCTGGGCTCGCATGTATTAATATACTAGAGCATGTTATGCTCTAGTATATGGTAGTGTAATATATTATATTATAGTAGATTATGTTATATTATTCTACATCATATTATACTGTATTATGTAAAGTTATAGTATACTATAGTAGCTCCCAGACCCCGTTTCGTAGTCAATCACCAGCCAGTGGTCCACATGGGGACCAGCTTGCTTGCCAGGACTTCCTGACAGCTGTGGACCCAGGCTGGCAGACAATCATTTGCCAATAGTCTATACTCATCAGAGTAGTATTTTTTGTTTGGGGATACTATGGTACCCAATGTAGTAAGTTTAGGGGGTTATATAGGGTTTAGGGATTAGGGTTTAGGGTTTAGTAGTATTTTGTTTGGGGATACTATGGTACCCAACATAGAGTAAGATTCTATCCTAAATTTGGGGTATATATACGGAATATTATCTTACTGGGTTTAACCACCAAAAAAACGCTACTCATCAGGTGCTTGGTTCCAAGTGTGTGAAGATCTGCTGGCAAGATAGATCCCCTAGCTTTGGGGAAGCGCCATGAGGTGCATTGAGCTCTGGATGTGGCCTTCGCGTGGTTTAAGTTTAAGGACTAGTGCTGGCTTTCCCTGCGGGTTGGAAGTCATGCAGTGTATACGGACAATCCTGCATGACTCTAAGTACTAACCTTAGACCAACTATGGTACAATGGTATAGTAAGGTCATTCAGAAGTTTTAGCATTAACAGTATCAGCTTGGATGCTTGCTGCATCATCCGAGACAAGGCTTTCGGGCTTCGCAGAGATCCCAAGAACATAGAGGTCCTAAGAGACGCGCCTGGCTCATGTTGCTAAATGGGGGTTTCTCAAAATTAGGGGTCGCCGTTTCGGGGTCCCAATAATGGAATACATCGCATTTTGGGGTGTATATTGGGGTTCCTCTGTCTATGGAAACTGCCAAATAAATGCCCTAAACCCCTAAACTTTTGGCCCTAAACCCCAAACCCAGTTTCGGAAGCAGGTCCCCATGGATTCTGGTGCTCGGGCACAGTCCCAGTGGACCAAGCCTTCTTCGAGCATCTTGGTAGCAGCCGGCTTATCAGTTCATGGGGGTATCTGAGCTACTGTCAATATTAGCCCTATTAAGGGCCCCCTAACAGTGGACATAGGGGCCCCTCATGTAGTTTAGTATAGTCCCTGATCTAGTCCTTAATGAGGAAGCCATGCCCATTAAATTCTGTGGGAAATGTTGATTGTAGCTCATGTAGGGAGATATGGGGGTTTCCCTAAATTATGGGCGGTTAGGATTCAGGGTTAGGGTTTATGGTTTGGGGGCTTAGGGTTATATGAGCTATAGCCTAAACGCCTTAAAGGGGGGATATATAGGGGAGTATATAGGAGACTACTATTGGGGGTACTAAGGGGGATACTAGGAGTTCAGATTATGGCTCATATAGGATTATAAATGGTATATAGGGTTTAGTATGCCCTGGAGCTTCTGAGCATTTGAAAGCACAGTCTGCATCCTGCACCCTGTTTTCAGTTTGTATGGAGGATGCGCTCATACCAGGTTTGGACAGTATGACTCTGTCAAGTATCTCAATCAAAAATGATGTCTTGTACCCAATAAAGGATCCAAAAAATGGAGCCCCCCCAATACGAACCCAGTACTTCATTGGGGAAACTAGGGGCTTATTAGGGGGTTCCATTCTTTGAATCCTTTAAGGGGGTCTGGGTATGGGTTGCCCCCGGGCAAGGGACTCCTTGGTTAGAGTCTGTCGTGAAGGCGGCCTCCGCGAGTCTGGTCATGTGACGCGTCTGATTCTTATTGGGTGGTTGTCAAAATGATGGTCCCTTTTTGGGTCCCTATTATAATACGGGGCCTCATTTAGGGTACCCAGAAAGGGATCATAATTTTGACAATCCCCCTTATGTTAATGCAAGGGCTTTGCCAGCCTAAATGGGGCGGGCGCAGCGCCGCTGTACAGTTTCTACGAATACCACCAGGTTTGTCCACAGTCTTCGTCCCCCAAAAGCGTCTATCCAGAGAGCAATCTTGCCGTAAGGATGCACGCGTTTATGTTTTTACAAGATTGTGGACCTTGCCTGGCATGTGCAAAGGGAAGGAGATCAGGTGAAAACCTTCAGCCGCACTGGCCATGCCATGGGTTGGACGAGGAGCGTGATCTCAGAACTCTGCAGCTCGAATATTCTGATCAGTTCAAACAGTGTGACAGAACTTCACTTGATTCTCAGATGCAAAGCAGGTGGGAGTGCAGCACCTGCGTAGTGCAGACAGGTGGCGGCGTGCAGAAAAGAGACCAGCTCTGAGCATTGAAGCCGTGCTGCAAGTGTAACATGCAAGAGCAGGACTGCCTACCAGGACTTCTGTACTCTGTACCTTTAAATAGGGGTGATATGGTCCCTATTTATAGTGAGTATTTCGGGTATATAGAGGGTAGATGGTGGGTCCAGGTAGTTGGTTTGTGATCCGCGTTCACCATAGCATGTGGCTGTGACAAGCCAAGTGAAGGTCGTATCAGGTACGGGTTTGCATGAAAATGTAGGACGGTGCTAGTTGCTCTCCTGTGGCTGCGGTCTTTCGACGAGCGGACCCTGCGCCTCGTGAGAAGTGCCTGGGTAGGGAAACCCTGCAGAGATGGCTCAACAACATGCAAATGCCGCATGCTTCCACACACGCTCTTCTGCTTTGCCTTCACATGCACCTACTGAAGACCCCCTCACATCACCTTCGCCTGCACAAAACCCGCAGCACTTTGCCTCGCATTCGCGTCTGCCCCGCCTTTCCATGAAAAGAGTCCCATGCTTCATCAGGGCCGCAGTATTGGCAGCTGCAGATGGCACGACCAGATGCGCTGGACACCTCCAAGCGCATCGAGCGTGCGCTCTTCGACTTTGAGGCCACGCCAAAACCTGAGCTTAACAATTGCCAATGCTATTCGAAATGCGACCTCGAGAGATCTCAAGAGTCTAGAGCCTAACATTTGCCAGAGGAGCTCAAGTTGCGCCTGGCCTCCGCGCATGCCAGCGCTGCCGAAAGACCACGGCCGCCAGCTGAGGCGACCGCCTGTGGAGCGTAGGGCAGCTCAGGGCGTAGTGCAAGAGATGTGTCGAGCAAATTGCTTATTGCGACCCAAGCGCATTTCGATGTCCGTCAGGGCTTGAGAATCACAGTTCCAATTCACCCCTGCGAACCCCGCACGTTTTGTCAAGTGGTGTGATGTGATAGGACAGACTTGCAAAAAGGGATCTAGGAGTCGAGATGTGCCACATGCTGCAGGCTTATGCCATGTAAGCCCCATCTCCTGGCCTCTTTGAAGACTTGACACCAGATTCTGTGTCAGCCCGAGGATAACGAGGCTACCCACTGCGTCAAGTAACCCCTCGAGCCTTGAGCTTCCACGTCGCTTGTGAGCGCTCACGGACAGTTCGTTTCTCAGATCATCAGACCTGAGCATTTTAATGTTTGTTTCAAAATGGGGCTCTGCTTCTCACTCCGCCGGCACAGTGAGGCCCACACCAGAAGGACCCTGCTGCTGCTGCTGCTGCTGCTGCTGCTGCTGGCAGCCCCGTGGCCCCCACCACTTGCACCACCTAGCACTCTACCTATTGTGGTCTGCAGAATGGGCCCGAATGTACACGACTGCCCAGTGTTGGAGAGCAGGTCCTGGAGGAACAGCCTCATGCTTCGCCTGATGCGCTGGAGCTGCTTCGTCGGCGAGTGACGGAGCGACTTCCTCGTGCAATATCTGGACATGCGAGGTTTGTCCCGCTGCACAGTTTCGACGTTCCTCAAAAGTTCCGAGCTATGAGTACATTAACTTACGCACCTAAAGGGGGAGGGGCTTCGGAAGAAATTTGTTGCTCAATTTTCGCAGGATAAGCCTGTTTCTGGCAATCGCATGGAAGTTGTCATACGTTGCCAGGACTTCGAGACAGCACGTGCGCTCAAAGCAGCTGTTCCACTTTCCAGTATACCAGTCAGTCAAGACACCACATCACTGCCGCGTTACATGCAAGCTTTCAGAAGATTTAATTTTTGGAGACACCGTCTGTTGGCTTTGTGAATAGAATCCGGACCACAAAAGACACCAGCGAAGCCTGCTACCTTTGAAGCAAAGAAGAAGTGAGAACTCTTTCAGGTGCGTTTACCACTATCTACCATTTGTGGCTCCACTCCCCTCTGATCTTGGCTCATCCCTCAAAGGTGCTTCTGCAATTTCTGTGGCGTCCCCTCGTCCTACAGCCGTGGTCTGGCGAAACGGTAGGGTCTACTGCCGGGACTCCGAAAAAAGACCCGCAATCTTGGTCAGCTTCAGTATGATCGTTACAAACGCATTGGAGCATTGGAAGCTCCTTTTCAAAATTACACCCAATCTTGAGGCTTGAGTCCGCGCTGCAAATGGCTGCCCTTCGTCGGGCAGAGCTTCAACACCTCTGCTCCGCGGTGGGTCTCAAGGGGTGAGATGTAGAGTACTGTAGGGGTTCGGGCTTTAGAACAGAGACTAAAGTTAGAGTTCAATTTTGAAGTGCGGAGCTTGAGGCTTGGGGGATTACGTGAGGTGTCTTGGGAGATGTGCTGTGCTCTGTTGAGCACAGGAGTCTTACAGGCTTCAAAACATGCCCCACGTCCGCCTCAGTTGCGAACATTGAAGCAGGCCAAACCCTACGGTATGATGGCACTGATCAGTTTTCTGTCCACCTTAAGTAGATAGAATATGGCTTTGGGTAGAATATAATAAGCTCCCATATACCCCATATTCTATCTACTTAAGGGGGACTATAGCCGGAAAGGAATACACTGAGATCCCTTGGAATTTTGAGTAACACAAAGAACATGTTCAAAGGCACGGGGCTCATGATTTTTAAAGGGCATCATGCCCCTATAATCCCCTATAGTTTCCATTTTTTCCATTATTCCATATATAACCCCAACATATACCTTATAGTCCCCATATAAACCTTATATAATCCCTATAATTTAGTGGTTGAAGGCCGGCAAGTCTCAGCCACCTGCGGCTGCTCTCCCTCCGGCCACAGAACTGCCGGCGAGGGAGGGTGATCCGGAGTTTCTTGGATGGATCAAGGTACAACTGCACATATACTAGGAGCTTGCTTTAGCAGCGGCGCAGTTCAGAAAGCTTCTGTTTCCTAGTGCCGTCCTTGGCAGCTTTGCTGCAGTAAGTTTCTTCACAGTGTCGCATCCAGTTCTTATCCAGCCATTTGGAGTCTTGCCAAGGACGCGCACCCACCGAGCAGTCATCAATTACCTGGTCGAGAAGTTGGAAGAGACGCTGACCGCAACCTGGCCTGATTGCTGTAGCCAAGCTGGGGGATGACAAAAGATCACCACAAAGCGGCTAAAGTCTACACTCCTCAAAGGGGATTATAGAAGGGAGTTTGCATAGGGCTTACTATAGCCCACATTGGGCAGCTCAGGGCAACAGGTTGGAATAGACCCAGCTGCCAGTACCTTGGTGCTCAGGATCGGAGGCGCTACTTTGAGCGTTACTGGGCCGGAAAGGGTTTGGTTTGGGGTCGGACAGGTGTTACGTCATAGATGCTAGGATTGTTCGGCCAATGGGCAGTAAAACCCTCTCAGGTGCTGTGAGGCTTCAAAGTCAATTTGAGTCGAGGGATCGCTTGAATCTGTCACCCACATTAGCTGCATAATCGGGGTTACGTCGGAGTCATGTAGGGATAATGGAACAGAAAATGGAAACTACTACAATATGTTGGGGTTATATAGGGGTTCATCGCGTATGAATGCCGACTCAGCCCTTTTGTGCTGTTGTTTCTGCAGTTGCCTTGCTCGGCGAGTGAAAATCTTCCATTCTGCTCCAAACACCAGAACCAGCCCTGGGCCCTACACCCTAATGAGGGCTAAATAGGGTTCAGGGTATATAGGGTTCCGGGGATATATTGTTTAGGGTCTAGGGTTGCTTTAGGGCTCCTATACTAAGGAAACCACTTCTCAAGGGCTTCTCAGGTTACACCACTCTGCGCGAGATGGTGCTGACCCGGTCCTCACTTCCATGCGGGAATGAGCCGCTCTCACGCAAGGTGAGAGGTACTGGGAGGTACAGGGGATGAGCTTTTTGGATCCATGGGGTTATGTAGGGATAATGGAAAAGAAAATGGAAACGACTATAGTATAATAGGGTACAGTATATATTGGGGTTATATAGAGATGAGATGAGCATTGTAGCCTCAGCCGGCACAAACTTGTAGCAATCGCAGTCTCCTACGCTGATTGCTTGAAGCGTCTCGCGCCCTTGTCATTTGCGACGCTGGCACTGGTCTTGCCATCATGTTACCTCATCAGCAGCCCGAAGCTAGCTAGAAACTTGAACACCTATATAACCCCAATATATTGTAGTAGTTTCCATTTTCTTTTCCATTATCCCACTATCATCCCAACATTGTAGTAGTTTCCATTGTCTTTTCCATTATCCCTATATAACCCCAATAGATGGGTTTTTTCACTTCCAAAGCTGCACAGAAGGTCTTCGCAACGAACTGCCGCGGAGGTGAAGAGGGAAGCCAGTTCCAACTACAGAGTTTTGCTATGTGGGGGTTTCCCAAACTTAGTGGTACCTTTTGAGGGTCCCTATAATAGGGATTATAATATTTTAGGGCTTATATGGGGGTCGCCTGATTTTGGGAAACTGCCATGTCTTGCTGCTGGGTGCTTGGCTGCCGTACCCCCTTAATCTTTGAGGTCGACTTGTCTGGTGATTTAAGTCTGACATTCGGGTGATGCAGCGCAACTTCGGCCTGAAGAACATCACAAGTCACGTTACTTGGTAGTTTCCCTAAATAAGGGGACCCCAATATAGACCCCAATATACTATAATCCTTATTATGGGGACCCCTAAAATGGTACCTCTAATTTTGGGAAACCCCCACTTGTCTAAATGCCGATGAGGGCTCAAAGCCTTGAAGCATACATCAGGCCCTTGCCGAGATGGAAAGCAAGTGGGTCCTGAGCGACCAGGCGCGGACAAGCCAGCCTGTTGCATGCCACTGTCAAACACCAGATGATTGAGCGGACCGAAAACAGAGACTTTGCCCTGTAGCATGCCAAAACCAAAGCTTTTCGTAAGGAATATTACTCGCAGACAGGCAAAGAACCAAGCCAGCCTGCTTTGACAGTCGAAAAAAGGCCTGCCGAAGTGCTCACACCATTTACAATCTGCTATATGATCTGCTGAGCAAGGATCGACAGGTTTTACACAACATCATGCAGAACTGGGCAGTCCCAAGCAAAAAGAGCTGGAAGCCCACACTCTGGCTGGACGTTGCGTTCAAAAGGGCTGGGAAGTAAAGTCAGCGTTTGCCTCCCACTGACCTGACATCTGATTGGCCCGTCAGGGAAACCGGTCAAACTGCATCCCACAAAGGGTTTAGGGATATTGGTACCCATTGGGGTAATACTAGGGCCGGGTTATCTGGGCCGGGTTATCTTGGGATCAGTTATATTGGGATAATGGAAGAGAAAATGGAAACTACTATTTAGGGCTTAGGGATATAGGTAGGCGTTGAGCGGAAAACTTCCTCAAGACAATTGTACAAGAGTCCATCAGCATGAGATGACACAACAGTAGGAGGCCCAGCAAAGCCCACAGAATCAACACACAGCACCTACGAGACAGGCGCGCCCTTCTTCGGCAAAAGGACCACAGACCCAATTCGTCTTAAGCTGCCAAGAAACTCTCAAATCCCTGAACCCTAAATCTTAATCCCTATAATCTCGAGCCTGCATCTCCAAAATCCCCAAAACCTAAGCCCCCAAAACCTCAAACACTTGATACCCCCGTATTTCCTTAGATACCCCTATCAACCCGACCTGAAGCCTGGAAAATTCCGAAGGCGCTTCTGGAGGCGCGCTTGCTCCGGGCCCGGGGCCGCCACCGACGACTCTTTGAGGCTGTGCGCCGCAAGGAGCGTTGCCCAAAGTCCAATTTCAAGGCACTATGGTTTAGAGAGGGGGTTCAGGGTGAATCCAATTTCAAGGCACTATGGTTTAGAGAGGGGGTTCAGGGTGAATGAACGCAACTGTGGCAGAATATATCATCGTTATTGGTATGAATTAAGCACCTGGACCCTCAGGGAAAAGGCTCTCTAGGTGAAGGGGTTGGGGAAGAAGGTTGAAGGTTTAGGCTTGGGGTTTGGTAAGTTAATTGGAGGCAGAGTTGAAGCAAAACTGTAGCCTTTGGACTTTGTATAGTAGGGAGTGTAGGTGTCAAGGGTGCAAGGAGTAAGAGTAAGGATTCACTAGCACCTGTTTGTGGGGTAATGTAGACCCCTGATTAATAAACCCCCTCCCCTCAATGGGAATTATAGGGATCCTAATCTTAAGGCCCTTAAAAGGAGGGGGGTTATTAAGAGTCCGAAAAAGTTGGGACCGACTGAGCTCAACTCCCAAATCTCCGGGCTACTTTCCTCCATGACCCGGCCCCCAAGAGCACGAGGCCTCTTGATCTCCGGGGTCCCTAGGGGTCCCCCCTTTAAGGGAAACTCACACTTTGACTTTCTGACGTTTGAGGAGCATCACAACCACCCCTATGTATCAGTACCCATATTCCCTCCACTTTTTCCCCTTATTCGGATACTCTGGGAATAGGTTTTGTTACTGTGGGCCACACCTCCGATGCATTCCCTATAAAAAGCCATTAAGCAACGAATTTTTATGGGGTTCCTAAACCTATCCCAGCTTAAGCAACAGTAAACCCTGAACCCTACACCCTGTAAAACCTAGACAAAGACCCTAAATGAACCCCAAACCCTATAAACCCTTGCAGTGGGAATAATCCAGCCTTAGCCTGCGTCCGATCATTTCCATGACTTGAAGCCGGAGGCGTTTACATGACGAAAGTATGAATCCCAGTGGAGTACGTCCTCGAAAGTGACCTCACATCAGGCGATTCACGGAGCCTAAATTTGGCGCTGTCCTCTGCAGCGCATGACTTTCGCTACATATCGGAGCATATTCACTGAGGAGGTGCCAAGCTGCCGACCATCTTCGCAGCCACTTTCTATGCAAAGTGTCATTGACTCAGCCACCAGCAAAGAGATAGGTGTTCGTCTTGCCTTCACCGGCAGGGTATCGAGCCTGCTCAGTGGCAGCTCAGGAGCTCGCATCAGGACTGTCCTGATCCGGGCGAAGGCTTCTGGCCCGCATGCAAAGTGAACTCTGAAATCATTCACCTTGCCATAGGTGACTCCTAAATCCTGAACCTTAAGCCCTATACATTAAGCCGCGCCGTCTGGTACAGCAGACTGCTAGCTCTGAAGATTGATCCAGCTGTGCTTCCAATCTCCGCCTGGGCCGATGGACCCTTTGTTCTGCAGAGAGCAAAAGAGGCGCGCAAAAAAAAGCAAATTAAGCCCTAAACCTTAAACCCTGAACCCTACGCCTTAAGCCCTAAACCCTAACCCCCAGTTTCCATTTCATTTTCCATGTTCTTTTCCCTAAACCCCTGCCAGGAGAGCCAGGTGGAGGAAGTATTCAAAAACCCAAAACATTAAGCCCTAAACCCTGAACCCTAAACCCTAAGCCCTAAACCTCAAACCCGAAACCCTAAACCTTTAAAGCCCTAAACCCCTGTCAGGAGAGCCAGGTGGAGGAAGTCCTTATAAACACTAAACAAAGACCCTAAAGAAACCTTAAAATCCAAAAAAAAAAAAAAAAAAAAAATCAAATCTTATGAAA